TCATAGATAGATAGATAGATAGATAGATAGATAGATAGATAGATAGATAGATAGATAGCAGGGCGGGGGGAATAAATTGTCCGAGATCGCACGAATATGATTATTGGTTTGTTTAGACAATCTCTGCATATGACTGTGTATATTTCAAATAGCTACGCGTGTACAAATTAGGTAAGACAAGAAGTGAATAAATGAAGCAAACGTTTAGGATAGGAAACGAAAACCGGAAAATAAAAACGACCTTCGGATATCCGAGGTCAGTCTATCCGGATTACGGATAATCGATGCTGCTGCAGTCTGTCATTAATATGAATAATCGAATGTGTATAATAAAGATTATATAGCAAACTAATATAAAATTTATGAAGGTGTTTGTTCTTGGACGTGAAGACGATATATCATTACGAAATGACGTATATATATATATATATATATAGATAGATAGATAGATAGATAGATACGGAATGATATAAAGAGATAAAAAATAAATTTGAAGGGAGTCAATTAGTAGATAAAATTTTACAAAATAAAAGGTAAATCAAAAATCGACAAATATGGCTTTTATTAGTCTTTATGCTAATTTTCACCCAACACAGGGTTGAATAGCCAGTTAAGATGGAGGGTTACTGTGTGAACTTAAGAAAACTCAAGAAGTGCAGTTCATGATGTTATTTCCAGAAAAGAACTGTTAACTTGAGACATAAAAAAGCAAAACATTGTAGTGATTTTGAATATATATATATATACATATATATATATATATATATATATATATATATATATATATATATATATATATATTTATATATATATATAATTAACATCGAGCACTTTTTAAAAAGTAAATCTAAAAAATGTGAAATAATAACCTGACTGTTCTTTTTATTTATTTGTATATATATATATATATATATATATGTGTGTGTGTGTGTGTGTGTGTGTGTGTGTGTGTGTATTGATGTAAGAAGAAAGAAAAGTTAGATTAATGATCCAAGGTTCTTTAGTATTTATGTTTTTATTTTTTAAAAACAGCGCTCGATACAAAAGTAGAGCTTAAAATTATATTTTTTTTTTTTAAATATGATTTCATCGCGACACAAAAAATACTAAGTTTCGAAACTGACTCAAGTCATTTCCAACCTACAAATGAGTAAGACATTTCTTCGGTTAGTTATTCTAAACATCGCTTGAAAATGAAACAGTACTCTAAAGTTTAAGTTTAATATTAAATTTAAACCATATGACTTAAGTTAAGTATATCGTATTAGAGGATACTCGTCTACTTTCGTGGCTAGCCAATCCTTTTTGCAGACGCACGCTCAGACACATTTGTGTTTATTAAACAAGCACGACGCCCATCTATAGTTTATACTTCAACTATGTTAACCGGAGCTTAGTTACTGTTTCTGGGAGAGAGCCTGTTCTCTAGCGTGATCAACAATTTGATCAAAACCAGCACGCTCAAACCCTCGATCACGATTCCTTATGACTTTGTGCTATATATACAAGGTTCCTCACACCAAAACACAGAGAAACGTTCAAATAAATGTATGTCCGTAAATCCTTCGTTTTTGAATCAAGTTTAAATAAAGCCTCGCTTCCATCACCATTCTCGGCCTTGTGTAAAAATAAGATCTGCCTGCTCATGATATGAATGTCCTGCCATTTTTAAACGGAACACTTCTCAGTTAAATTGCTACTCCCTATGTTAAACGTTGAAGCCATCCTAGCAACAGATGTACACGAATGACAAATGTAACCTTGCAACACAGGGCCACCTACCGTAAGCTTTTTTTAAACTCAAAAACGAAAGATTTGCGGATATATATTTATGTGGACAGTTTTCCCTGTTGGGGTGTGAGGAACGCGCTCACAAAGTTGGTAAATGTACTTTTGATACATCCTATATATATATATATATATATATATATATATATATATATATATATTAAAAGTTACTCCAAAATTCGCTTGAGGATGAAATGGAACTAATGCTTTTAATTTAATTGCAAAATTAAATTCGGGGCGTTTAGCTTCTATTTTTGAAACATGGTTAAAACTGTGTAGCGGAAAAAAACTATATGTTAAATCAATTAATTTATAATATTAATGCTCTGTAAATTTACATTGAGTACTACTTTGTAAAAATAAAAATATGTATAAGAACACCGGATTATATATCTTACTGTTCTTACGGATTCATTTTTGGTAGATTTAGAATACTGAGTAAGAAAAATACAATATTTTCTTGAACTTGAAAGGATCAGAACGAAACCTAATCGACATGATATGCGTAAATAATTTAACCAGCCCTATGTGTATATATAGGCATCCTATTTTCAATCAAAAATATGCTGCCTAAATATACATATATATTCGCTGACAGTACTCTTTCACAGCTCTTCAGTGCGACTAGGAATCCGAATCCCCCGAACCAGGATCGAAACCCAACCGATATGGCGCTAGTCATATATATATACAGACACTGAGAGAGAGAGGGGGGAAATATGAGCAGGATGAGATAGAGAGATAAATATGAACAGACTGGGATAGATAGATAGATAGATAGATAGATAGATAGATAGATAGATAGATAGATAGATATGAACAGATGGGATAGATAGATAGATAGATAGATAGATAGATAGATAGATATGAACAGATTGGAATACACACACACACGCACATTTTATATATATATATATATATATATATATATATACAGACACTGAGAGAGAGAGGGGGGAAATATGAGCAGGATGAGATAGAGAGATAAATATGAACAGACTGGGATAGATAGATAGATAGATAGATAGATAGATAGATAGATATGAACAGACTCAGATAAATATGAAAAAAAAACTGAGATAGATAGATATTGATATTGATATTATTTTGACTGTACTCATACATTAAAGCCATAAGTATCTATAGTGTATCGATTTGAACGTAGGGGTCGCTCGGCCTTTACATTGTGGATCAATGGCTGACGGGCTAACACCTGAGCTGGGGTCTGTTTTTCTCCGACCAGAAAAAGAATCATAAAACAAGGGGGATGAGCCGGGCAAAATGCACAGTTACAGCCGTGTAAGTTGGCGGAAGGGCTATTCGTTCCGGTCATAAACTATTCTGTTACGTCTTCCCTCCTCGAAAGAACAAACTAGCAACATCTGGTGTTACGGATTCATTCGAAGTGTCCAGTCACGTCATGCGTAAAGTTTATAACGCCATTTTTATTTTGTCTGTTATATATTCATCTTTATCACACCTTCCCCAACCCGGAAAAAAAAAACTCCGAGGTTCCTGACCTTGGATGGCCAGCCTGCAAAGCAGAAGAGGGAAGAAGCACAGGTTGTTTGTGCGTTCTTATTGCTGGCGAATGTTTTATGTCGGGTAACCAATAAACTGCGCCAGCCGGAAAAAGCAAGAAAAGAAAGCGGCTTTCTACGATGCTTTCAGGGTTGGTTGGCTGCTTACGTTAGGGTAGGGACTCGATCGGTTGCAGGTACAAGGAAAAGCGAATGGCGTGGAATGGCAAACGACCAAGTACCGCGATCCGCTCCGTTGAAAAGCCCGGCAAGTATACAGGTGGCGTCACGTGTCGCCGGTGCCTTTTCGTTCACATTTATCGTTCGCGCGTTTCAATATTCTTGTAGATTACACTGTATATCTTTCTCGCCTCTTCTTTATCATTCTCAAACATTTCATTTTTCTTTATTTTCTTCGTTACACTTTTTTCACCATATCTATCTATCTATCTATCTATCTATCTATCTATCTGTTGTTTCTGTTTTTCTTTTTGTCTGTCTATCTATCTATCTATCTCTCTCAGACTGTTTCTTTCTTTTTTTCTATCTATCTATCTATCTATCTATCTATCTATCTAAGACTGTTTCTATCTATATATCTGCTTATCTCAGACTGTTTCTTTCTTTTTCTATCTATCTATCTATCTATCTATCTATCTATCTATCTATCTATCTGTTGGTTCTGTTTCTCTTTTTGTCTGTGTGTCTATCTATCTATCTATCTATCTATCTATCTATCTATCTATCTATGTATGCATGTATACTCTCCGCTATCTATCTATCTATCTGTATGGATGGATGGATGGGTGTATGCATGTATATTCTCCGTTATCTATCTATCTATCTATCTATCTATCTATCTATCTATTGTCGTCTCTCTTTATCTGTCAGTCAGTGAGTCAGTTAATCTATCTATCTATCTATCTATCTATCTATCTATCTATCTATCTATCTATCTATAGTCGTCTCTCTTTTCTATCAGTCTATCTATCTATCTGTTCTCGGATCTATCTATCTATCTATCTATCTATCTATCTATCTATCTATCTATCAGTTGTCGGTTCTCTGAATATCTATCTATCTTTTCTGTCAGTCTATCTATCTATCTATCTATCTATCTGTTCTCGGCTCTGTCAGTCTATCTATCTGTGTATCTATCTATCTGTATGTCAGTCGCTTCCTTTCTTTTTTCCCTAACTTTCAATCTCTTACGTTTTTTCTCTTTCTACATTTTGTCTTTACTATTCTCTCTCTCTCTCTCTCCTTCTCTCTCTCTCTCTCGTTTCAAATTCATTTTTGTGGTTAATATCATTCTCTCTCCTTATTCCTTTCTGTTCTTTTTTCATTCTCAAATCTTCCTCGTTTAACAGCCCCTACTCTCTATCTTTCATGTATCACTTCTCTTTTTTCTTATTTACGCTATTTTTTTACCTTTTTTCCCTTTCCCTCTCTCGTGGTGTGCTTATATTTTGTTTCTTCTCATCGCCCGTCTCTCTTTTTTTTTTCCGGCGATATAAGAACTTTATGAGCAACATAAGACATGTATATAATATACACGGTCCTGCGCTTCTGACCTTTTTCGTGATTAATTGGTCGATTCCTAGTGCCAACGCGAAGAAAGTTAGCCAGAGACTCTCTAGCTCGTCCATTCTGGTTCGTTCCGCTGTTTCTCTTGGGATGATGCCAACAACTACAAAGAGATTGTGTTATAAACAAGGTTAAAAATGTGCAGAAGATGTAAGATTCAGCCGATAGGGAAAATAAGAGATCGCTTGGGCTGCTACTGGTGTATTGTAGCAAGTTTGGTTTGAATAATTGCAGTAAAAAAGGGCAAGTTTAATTGATATATAAAAGGAAATTGATAGGCAGTTGATGCATTTATTTATATTGTTAGATATGAATGATCTGGACACTTATAAGTATAGCTAGGTATTAACTTACAGATAAACGTTATTTAGATGCGTTTAACCCTAGAACGGTAACCATCCATTGAAGTTACACCACTACTAACCATGGGTATATGATACCCGATTTTGAAAATATCAAAAAAAATATTAAATATAAATCTTTATTTGAAATATTTTACATGCAGCCAATTCAAACTTTGTACTTTGTGTTAACATTAATACGAACTGAAAAACATATTTAGGTAAGAAAATCAGGTACTGAAAACTGTAATTAAAAATAGGAAAATTTGCGCTGGGTACTATATAATCATAGTTAGTGTTCTAGGGTTAATATGGTATTGGTAGATGTAAATCTATGCTCATTAGCATAAACCTAATTTAGCTGAGATCATCAGAGCGGCAAACACGGTAAAACATTATAATGGAAAGAGAATTAATAAAAACTTGTAAATATAGATAAACGTGACAGCAATAAGACGTAATGTCAATAGGATTTTTTTTGTTCTATGCCAACGCTATTTTAACTTACCTTCAACCATCTACAATGTGTAGTGTTTTAAAAAGTGAGGATTAGAATTGGAATAAAGCTCAAACACATGATGAAATTTATTTTATTTTTATTTCATTTTGTTCTTGATACTTTACAACAAAAAGTATTTAATACTATTAGATCTAATCTACTGCAATACTTATAATATACCTATTTATAAAGCAGTAAATGTGAAAACAATTTTTTTGATTCCTAAGTTTATAAACATTTGCTGAATTATTTAAATATGTGAAATCACAAAATGTATCATGAAAAAAAAAGAGAAAACAGCATTAGCCAACAACAATAAATTCCAAAATTTTCTGAACAAGAAAATAGCTGTAATTAACTTCCCAGACCAACAGAAATTACTAAATAAACGATCAGAACTCAACTCAAAATGCAAATTTTGACTACATTACTTAAAAATCGAAAACCAAAAACAAATAAATAGAAAATAATAAATTACTAAATAAAAAGTAAATTAATTTTATCCTAATCAATAAATAAGTAAATAAATCAAGTAAATAATAAACAAATTCAAAAACTACGAATGCACACATAAGCGCAAGTCAGCATAAAAATCACAACCAGTAACAAATAACAAAGCAACAATAAAATTAGCAAATAGCACTATGAAGTAGCCACAAAACTGCATTCGGATCCACAGTTATATCCACTCAATCGCCTCTAGAATTTGAAGCATAACCGTTAGCGACGACCCAATGAACGTTAGAATGACACAATAGACCTACCCATAATGCAACACTGATTACTATATGTAAATAGTTGAGCCCTAAAACAAAACACATGACCTGACAAATGTGTTTAAGCATGAAACACACCGTCGCCACTGGGTGTTGATCTCAAAATCCACTTTTATATTTACATACACTCTGTCCCTATATTGAACACTTTAACATATATATATATATATATATATATGTGTGTGTGTGTGTGTGTGTGTGTGTGTGTGTGTGTGTGTGTGTGTGTATCCACCTCTCTCTCTCTCTCTGTACTATATATGACAGCAAGGCTTCTGATCGGGGGATTGTAATTTTTTCTTTTCTTAATTGCTGTTGCTCCCAGGTCCACATATGTTGTGGTCCTAGCTATGGGCAAATCATGAACTCCCACCAAAAAAAAAACCAAAAAAAAAACCGGTGACAGTATAAAAATACCAGCAACGCATTTTTATATAAAAAGAAAATTTACCAACAATACGTATTTATAGTAAAATTACCAATAATACATATAGTAAAATTACCAACAATATAATATAATATAAATTTAATTTTAAACGAGCTCGGACTCTTCTTCCATTTTAGTAAATATTTCAATATATGTGTCCTCTTTATACTAATAATGTGCCAACGCGTTACCTATGAATAAGTGTTGGCCGAAAGATATCTCAGGTGCTGTATGTCTATAAAAAAATGTTTGAAGTCAACACTCAGAGTCAACAGACTGTTTCATGCTAAACGCAATCGTTTGGTCGCAATAGCTAGGTTTTTTTCAACTATTTATATATACACTTTACTGATGCATTGTGGGTAGTCTATTGAATTGTGGGTAGTCTATTCTAAGGGTTTGTTAAATTGTTTATTATTTACTTTATTTATTAATTTGGATTAATTTATATTACTTGATTATTTATTTTTATTTTATTTTATTTTAATTATTATTTTCGGTTTTCGATTTTTAAATTTTTATTCTACGTTTAATCTTAACAAATTCTGACATGGACTGAGGCTCG